ACAACACACAACACACAACACACAACACATAACACATAACACATAACACATAACACATAACACACAACACACAACACACAACACACAACACACAACACACAACACAACACACAACACACAACACACAACGCACAACATAGAACACAACACACAACATAGAACACAACACACAACATAGAACACAACACACAACATAGAACACAAACACACACACACACACCACAACAACCACAACAACCACAACAACCACAACAACCACAACAACCACAACAACAACCACAACCACAATCACAACCACAAGAACAACACCAACACGAACAACCACAACCACAACAACAACGCAACGACAACGACAACAACAACAACAACACCAACAACACCAACACCAACAACACGACCAACAACACCAACACCACCAACAAACCCAACCACACCAGCAACATTAACAATACCAACACCACCACCAACACCAACAACACCAGCATTAACAACACCAACAACACCAACACCACCAGCACCACCAACACTACCAACACCACAACTACCGCCAACCCCAACCACACCGCCGAAGCCTTTCCGTCGCTTTTACCAGACTCCACTTTATATTTTTAGAGAGAAAATGGCCGCGTCGCTTTTACCAGACTCCACTGCATGTTTTTTTCCTTGCCCTCTCTCCTTTCTTTTTTCTTCGGTTCCTTTCTTGTTCACCTACCTTTCGTGTTCCCCCTCTCAAGTTAAACATCAAATAAATGGGTGATTTAAATATGATTTAATGCGATATTTATATATATATATATAGAGATATAGATCGATTATATATAGACTATATATATATATGTATATATATATATATATATAAATGTATATATATATATGTATATATATTGGGGAGGAGATTGAATTATATAATGCAATATACAGATATGTATACATATCATGGAGGGATTGCGCGGTGATTTGGTGGGTGATCATCCCCATTGGTGGTTTGGCAATGGGATTTCAATGTCAAAAATGGTGGTTTAATGGGGACAAAAATTGATATTATGGATTCATGAATCTGGATGAATTGTAAGGACATCACCGCTATGTCACCACAGAGATTGTGGTTAGTAAAGGGAGTCATCCCCTAAATGACCTTAGTTCAGGTTGGAGCGTTATTGCAGCTAGACTCATCAATGGAACTATGTGGTTTCAAGCTTGCTATGGTGTCAAAATCGTGAACCTGCAAATGACGTACATTCTACCACTCACTGGCCCCAACTTTCTGCGTTAAATCCAACAGCGGTCAATTGATTCAATTGATCAATGAACAGATGGGCCATCAATGGCACACCACGTGCCAGCATCATCTCGTATCTAAGTGAGAAAACTACTGTGGTTTATGCAGAGATGGGTTTGTCCGAAGACCAGGTATACTCCAAAATCGCAGGTTTATATCATAGGGGGCATGATATGACAAACTGCAGGATTTTGGGATACCTTTTAGTACACAACTTCATTTTTCACAAAAATCTATGGAAATCCCATGCCCAAGGTGGTAGTGACCAACCTTCACACGCTGCCATCCTTCGCTTCCGTATCATATGTTTAATGTGCGCCATTTCGGGGTTATACTGGATGCATTTGGGCCGATTGCTGCTGCTGCAGCTATGCTGCCAACTCGCTGTCGCAACTGAGTGTGACCAGGACCTGTGACTATGCTGCCATGATTCCTGGTCCTTTTGTCATTCAATGGATTGGCTTAAGGGAAAATCTACAGGAAACCATGGTTTTTACCATCAAATATAGGGGTTTCCTGTAAATTGTCCCATCATCCAGTTCTATGAGTCATTGTTCATTGGGTGACCTACAGTACATTGCCCCACAGAGGCTATCCCATACCGTCTCATTCAGCTTTGGGAGAACGGGAAATGTGCGTATATACAGTATATATATATATATCTATAGAATATAAATGAATGAATACATACACGCATTCTATATAGAGAGTATGTAATCTATATATAGTATATTATGTATGTAATGTATGGAATGTAATGTATGTAATGTATGTAATGTATGTAATGTATGTAATGTATGCCATGTCATGTATATAATGTAATGCATATAATGTAATTAATTTGATTTAATGTAATGTAATGTAATGTAATGTAATGCAATGTATGTGTTTATGTGTGTACATATGTAAGTATGTATGCATGTATGCATGCATGTATGTATTGGTATACTGGTATACCTATATTCTGCAATGTTTATACGCACTCACAATCACACACAATAACAGTTTTTGTTTACATATTTATATATACAAACGTCGACGTAGAATATATTGCAATTGTAGTGCATTGTATTTATTTTGGCCGTTTCAAGGGCACAGTTGCTTACAAAAAAAACTATACAGATGATCTGGGGGTGAAAAAAATCGACAGTGTCATTGATATCCTCAACAGCTACGTGCATTCAGCATCATTCAGCCCCATGACGTCCGTGCCAGGACATTTTCGCTGGAAATTCACTGATTCAGAAGCAACTCTTAGTCCACGAGGCCGTAGAAACTGTCGCAGTCCACCCGTGGGACAAGTACATTTTTGTGGTTGGAACCTCCCACAAAGCTGGCAGCCACTTGCTGCGCAACATTATGACCCACTCGTTCGACATTCTGGGTGCAACGAGCAGTTGTATCGTCGAGCAATCGCCATCTCAGCACCAGGGCATTACCAGCTTAAACGAAGACAATGATTGTGCTGTTTTCCCAGCACCCATTAGATTTCACAACCACATCTCAGGGCATAGTATCTCGCAGATGAGGCAGGAAGCCAAAGACATGAAAAGCGATCTGCGGGGTGTGATGATTGTTCGGGACCCTCTGGAGATGGTAGTGTCGGCCTATGTTTATCATCATCGAGGAGCAGAGGATGGTAACCCAATGCAGATTGGTATTCCTCAGATGGGTCCGGAGGAAACTGGGCGGACAAATTGCATGGGTTTTTGTCATAGGATCGATGGGAACACGGAACGAGAAGACGTCCTTATTGTTACAGTTCTTCAATTTGTCCGGGGCAATGGTTGTCCTTATTTTCTGATATGTTCTGCATTTTTGGTCATATTCCCATCTATATTATTTGCCATATAGTATTGCCGTGTTTTGTGGAATTTTGAATAATAAGTCACGTTGGTGCGGCATGGTGCAGTTTTCTGATCAACAAATTTGGAGGAGGGTGTGCCAGAAATGGCCAGCCGGATGTCAAAGGTAATCCATCGGATGGTGAGTGCGTACGAAGCACGTGGACCTGAGATTCTGGCGGTTCGCTATGAAGATCTCGAGAATTCATCAGAGAGTTTCGATGCGACGACTGAGACTCTTGATAGAACATTTATGAACAATTTACGACTTACTGGTGCTTAGTAGGGAATGGATGGGAATGGGGGAATGGGATGATTACTAGTGATTATATGGATCATCCCCTCATTCCCTGCTAAGCACCAGTAAGATGATCGAGACTGTCCTTAGCACATCTGAAATAGGAGCCTTTCAATGCGATCCTGAATATGACCAATTCATAGCAATCCGGCTAGCAATCCTCTAGTGATTTTGCGGTACAACCGGCACCCAACTTGGAAAAACCGCTTCCTTTTTCCAAGTCGTGGGTAACTCGAAGAATCATATGATGCAGTTCGATGCTCCTTCCACGTTGTTCCGAGTCTGTGCCCTTTATTTCTGGGGATCTGTTAACGAAGTATGAAGCAGCTGAAAATATGAGTTTTTTTTTGCTGGCTGCAGCCCGCTGTATCTAAGATTGGCCATGTTTTTTCTGAGTGTCGACACATGTCGCCCGCTGTCAAGCTTTTTTGATTCTGGGAACCCTGGGAACCCACCACATTCATTGCCATTTTTCAGTGGGATGGTCAAGTTCGATGGCTTATTTTCAAAAGTGTAGTCATACCTCCAGTTCATAGGGGTTTCATATGCCCATGACATCCCATTGCGTTAAGAATCCACAATGGTGGGATGACTGCAACCCATTACTCCTATGTAAAATACTTATATTAAAATATAGGGTAAATTGGGGTACGGCACCCCGAAAAGCGGTTGATTTCAGAGTTGATCTGAGCGACCGATGATTCCCTCCTTGAAATGGGCTTCACCATGGTTCACCATCCTAACCATGGTTCCAATGGTTCGTCATGATCGTCATGGCTGCCAGTGCTGATTTTCAAGGAAAATGCTGGATTTTGTCTTCAAAGATGAAATCACCGATCTACAGAGGGCGGAGATTTTGATTGCTGCTCGCATGGAAGATTTGAAGCGTACGGGCCAAAGTACTCAAAGAGCTGATGAGTATGATATCAACCACACTAACGATGAAGATGACATGAACAAGGCCAGAGGTTGTTTGTCTCTGATCTCACCAGATGTCTATGCAGAATATTTGAAAGCACAAGAAGTGTTAGGTTATGTTTGACGCATTTTGACGCTCACAGACAGGGTGAAGGAAAAGTCGGAGTTGCTTGAGGTGAGGCAATAAATGGGATGGGACACTTATGGACACTTATATTGTATCATGTGTATCATCATTGACGTGTAATCCGCCATTTTTGTTTGGGGAATTTTGGGGATTCGGGCTTGCCAAGATATGTTGACATGTGTCACACATGTAATTTATTTCCCTTCTGTGGGTGTTTCGGTGTGAAGTGCGGAAAGGGGAATCTTGAGATATTGTCACATTTGTCACTCCAGTACTCTACCAGTATGATTCTTTAGCTGCTAAAGTTCCTTTCCAGGTTTCTCTGAAAAGATTGGGTCGGAATCAGAATTAATATCGTATACTGAACATATATCATCATATATCTAAACATTACAAGTTTTGTGGGTCACGATGGGTCACCCATGATTGCTATACCAAGACAGCAGATTGCGTCCTCACAATGGGGATCGGATCATGAGCAGATAGAACAACATATTATGAACATTTATGAAACAACAGTATATATATAGAAAGATAAAGAAAATAAGATGAAAACTCAACAATAATGAATCAGCGATGTTCTGGGGGTACTAGTTTCAAAAGATACTGAGATTGTGGTCTTCAAAATGCGCCCTGCATATATATATATATATATCCATATCTGACTTTCCTCTGCGATGATGATTTGCTCAAGGTGGTAGTGACAAACTTTCAAAGACACCGCCGTTCGTAGCTTCTATATATATATGCTTCTATAGCTTCCGTACATTAAAGCCATGCAGTTGGCATGGAAACAACCGTTGCTGCTGATGCAGCTGCTTGTACTGACAGCTGCAACTGAGGAATGTGAGAAGGACTTGAGCTGGCTAGGTGTACTTAGAGTGTCCAAAAGACGATACAAAACATAGCCTGATCGTGGATATGAATCAACAATGTCATCAACCCTTTTTTTTCAGTCGTTGAATAGCAACAATAATGCCCGAATTTGTGGACCCAAGCCCCAAACACTTAAACCATGTCCTCATACTCTCACTAAATCTCACTAATTACTGTATCATACTTGCTGTACTAACCATTGTCCATGCATTGTCCTTTGTTGCTGCTTCTTTTGGTTACGTGCTCTCCCTGGTGAAATATAAACTTTATCAACAACATTTTTCACAACTCTGTGATCAGATCACCACCTTGTAGCCCCTGAGGAACCCGCTGAAGCCGCTGGGAGTTCACTGCTTCAGAAGCAGCTCTTAGTACATGAGACCGCCGGAGCCGCTTTTCGGGTCACCCACCCGTGGGACAAACACATCTTCGTGGTGGGAACACACCACAAAGCTGGCAGCCAAGTGCTGCGGAACATCATGGCTCATTCTTTTGACATGCTGGGTGCAACAGTGAGTTGCCAATATAGTGGACACGGCGACAGTGTCACCTCTCTGAACCGGGAGAATGAATGCACGCTGTTCCCAGCTCCCATTCGATTTCACAACCACATCTCCAAAGACGCCATTTTGCAGATGAAGAAGGAAGCCAAAGACATGAAGGGCGATCTGCGTGGTGTGATGATTGTGCGGGACCCTTTGGAGATGGTGGCGTCGTCCTATTGTTATCATCACCGGGGAGCTGAGCCACACAACCCCATGCAAAAAGGGATTCCTGAGATGGGCCCTGAGGAGAGACAATGAGAGACAGGGATGTGGCTTGGGTTCTGTGAAGTGGAACAGACCTCTCCGATTTTCCTTCTAGATGTGGGAAGGGTGCTTATTTCATGTTATTTTCATGTTTATTGCTGTCTATTTGGGCTGCTCCTACCACAGATTCTATCGTTTTCAGATCATTTAGATCATTTCAGGTCATGCAAAAAGCTGCTGCGTGTTGGTTCAACAGGGTTGCTATATGGATGTGGCACATGCAAAACTTGAAGTTATTTTTTGACGCATGAGTTAAATGTATACTCAAACCAACTTGGATCAATTTACCCTCTGACAATCAAACATGGAAATGGAAAAACTTTCAAGTATGTTGCCAGTGTATTTTCCGTCAAATGGCAACTAAACCACATTTATAGACGATATTCAATATTCACGTTAAAACCTCCATTTTATCAGGGACTTCCCAGCCAAGTTTGATGACACCCTCAAAAACTGATATTTTTGATGCGGACTTCAGGAGGGCGTACCCGAAATGGCCAAGCGGATGCTGCATGTCATTCGGGATATGGCAGAAGCGTATGTGCCATGGCTGCTAATGCTGCTATGGTCAAGTTAGTTGGAATACCATGGAATACCATACCATACCATCATGAATCCTATCCAGCATCCAACCCTTTTCTCCATTGTCAGACCACAGCTGGAAAATTGCTGACATTTTAACTGGAAATCCCCTAGAAACCAAAGCCAAAGCACCGAACAGTTCACCAAGTCTCCTGGAAAATGTTTTGAAAGGCAATGCAGCAGTTGCTTTTCCTTATACCCTTTTTTCCATCTTTTTTCAAGGTCATGATTTTGACAAAATTGTTCACTTTACTTCAGGACCCTAAACTAATTGGGGAGGCTTACCTCATCGCAACCCTTGAACTTTTTTTCCTCACAGATATGGGACATTGCACGGCCCAAGATGGAGACCGTAAACTGAGAAAAAGCAAAATCCGCAAAAAAAAAAACGCACATATCGGCCAAACAACTCGCATCCTCAAACACCCCCAAATATCATCAAAAACCCGCACTTTAAAAAGTGACGGTTTTTGCGTGGTGAAATCCTTGTCAAGATCCTTGCACTGCCAGTCCACGGGTTCAATTCTGCAAAGCACAGTGTTTTTTATGGGCCCTTTTTGAACATGATTGGCTAATCCTCCGCGTCCATGATGCCGGAGGGAGCCTTGTGGGCGTTCAGTTTACGCGGTTAAGTTACCTTCAAATCTTTTTTAAGCAGAGACTTCTCAACATTTTTTTCGGATTTGGATGCTCCAGGATATTCGAGTATGGATATGCTGGATTATTCTTCAAGTAGTTATATAGTTGAATTACAGTACCCTATATAGCCTATATACCTACGGTAAAGGATGGTAATGAATTGGTGATACATGGTAATAGTATGTAGGACTCATGTACTCATGGTAGAATTCCAAATATGTGATGGATGACAGATTTAGCCAACAAACATGCTGATTCATATAGTGGGATGTGAATGGACATTTAATATCACCAACTAGATAAGTTGGATTGCGTACCCGTCTTGCAGATGGTGAACTTTCACCGATTTTTGGTTCCAAACATTTCACCATATTATGACTACAACTATATGTTTTTTCCTTGATGGTGTTTGAAGTCTATAAAGTGTGTATATTATATATATATATATATATATTTGTTTTTTTCTCCCTCCCTAAAATGAGATCCCAAATGACTTTCGAAGTATCGGAATGATCGGTAGCGGCTCGTATCCCACAAGGAAGTGAGTGCGCCGCATGTTTTGGTGGTCCGCTATGAGCATGTAACTCATTCACCTGAGCACTTTGATGCCAGCGTTGAGAATCCTAGCGGAATTTTTGACGACGCCTTTTTCTTGTTGTTTTTGTGGACCTCTAACCTCCAGCCCATGATGTTGATAGAGTTAGTCAAGTTAGTCAAAACATTACTTGATCTGTCACATGCTTATGATAATCCGATGATTTCTTTCACGTTCTTTCAATTTTGAAGATTCAGTGTCACAGGAGGCCCAGTTTAACTCCTGGTTGAGTCAAACCTACCAGGTCCGGTTATGGGGATGGGGATGATTCCAACTAATGTTCCAAGATATCATGACTGGATATGACTGGTCGGTGTCTTCAGACCCTTTTGGATGTTACCCTCTGACGGGTACAAGGGATTGGCTTTCTATGGATGTGGGTTATTAAAAAAATGGGGTTATCCCTGGAAAATTAGTAATTAAAATTAATCCCATGCTTCACAACAACATGTTCGTTACTGAAATGGCCATGACTTGGGGCAATGATTTATTTTTGGAGTGCTAACGGAGCAGCGTGAGCCGCGACTTTTCTTGGGCAAAAGAAGCCTGCGGTAGAACGTTGTTGTTATCTACCACAGCTTAGTCTGTGTTGTACTGATACTACACTTGTTCATAGCCAAAAGGCCAGTTCTTGAAATTCTCCATGCGCTCCCCCTTTGGCAGCATGCCAAATTTGAGGGTGCACGGCGCCTGCAAGGCTACAAAGGTGGCCAAAACGCCATGAGTCTAAGACTCCCCAGGCTGCCACCATTCCAGGTCATAAACGCTAGACCTTGAATTGTCCTATCGGCCGTAAAGATGCGGCCTTGGAAAATCTACGGGCCATTTTTTGTAGGCCCAAGGCTTCTACCCTCAGTCGTGCTCTTCAGAGACGAACTCCTCCTCGGTGATGGAGGTCGTTGGTTCTAAGGCCCCCGAAGACGCCACTTCTCCATGATGATCTCCTTCCTCAGCTTCCGGCTCTGAAACGGGCCCCTGTCGATCGTCGAAGACCTCCCTGTTTTCGGTCTCCAACGAGATGGCTTCCTCGGTCTCAGGAACCTCCTCATTCTCAGCCACTGCGGGATCACCATTTCCATATTCTTCATGGCCTTCTTCTTGAAGCGGTTCTTCTTCTTCTTCTTGGATGACCTCCAACTCCACTTTAACGGAGGCGTCGTCATCTTGTACCACCACTTCTTCCTCTTCTTCAACTTCTTCTTCATATTCGGCATCATCGACATCTGGAGCTCCTTCTCTTTCTTGGGCTTGATGGATGCTTGGAACTCCTTTTCCACCCTTCTTGCCCTTCATGAAGTCCAAGTAGACGTCAAGGCCCAAGCTCGATGCTCCCTTTCCTCGTTTGCCACCGGCTACCCGTTGTCCACGGAGTGCGAACTCCCAGCGCCAGCCACCGGGTGCTTTCGCACTCCCCCGTACCCAAGGACTTCCAAAAGGGCTCCTGTGGACTCGCCGCATTGATACGCCTCATTGTACGCTCTGCTTCTGCTGTACTTTGGGTGATGAACGGTTGCGCGTTGAAGCCCACATGATAGGGTTGCCGCCATGGCTCATCATGATCCCCTGCGCTGAGCGGTATCCTTCATGAGGTGGTCCAAAGCTTGCATCCACCGTCACTTCCAACGTATCAATTGGACCGCCCCCCTTGTAGTGGAGCTTCTTCGATGTGCTGCCACAAAGGGATTTGAGGCATTGCTGTCCAATTTAATTACTCGACATAGCCAGGCCTCTTGTGGAGCAGTCGAGACATAACCCCCACGGTGTACGCCACATCTGGTCGTGTCCTCGTGGTGAGCCACATCAACTCCCCGCGCAACTGCTGGGCTGAGCGTAGAACTGATCCAGTGAGGTTCTCAGCAGGCTCTTCTGGTCCCTCTTCGATCTTTGGGCATGGGATTCCTGCAGTTTGGTTGATCTTGTGTTTGTCGATGAGGTCGTGGATGTACTTCTCCTGTCCCAATGCATAGCCTTGATCAGTTTTTGAGATCTCATAGCCGCAAAAGGTAACTGCTTTCTCCCCCGTGACCCGCTCCGGTGTAGCCAGTGTGAACTTCTCCTCCAAAGCCTTTGAGGTCTCCTCGAGGATGTTGTCCGGAGCCACAAGTAGGAGATCATCTACATAATGGACCCCCATGTTGCCAGTGACGAACCACTTCTCGCCATCAGAGGTCCTTTTCATTTCTTCAATTGACCACACGTGGGGCTCCGGTGTTGAAGCCAATCGGCGATGTTGCCCCGTTTCACCTTTCCAGCTAATGGTCTTGCACGTAGTGTCCCTGTAGACTGCCCAATCCCGAGGGCTTTCCACTAGCCGGTAGAGCGCACCTTTCACCAACCACCATTCTTGTCCGCAAACTTGCGCCTCTTTGGTGATCGCTGGAGTGTAACTAAGGTCAACTTGCCTTTTCTTCACGTCGTGGAGCTTGAAGAAATGCAGTTTTCACATCCACAGTTGCACAGCCCCAGCCACATTGAGACGCCTTTGACACCAGTGATCTCGTACACACAGTGCATATTCCACCGGCTGCCACTTCCGCATCTTCATTCTTTGTAGCTTATGCTTATTGGTTACCACATGCAACTAACCTTGCTTTTCTTTTGAAGGGTGGCTTGATTGTTGCCACAAGCTTCCCGGGAATCACCTCGATGTCATGTGTTCTTTGGAGCTCCTGGTACTGCTCCCTGTTGATTGGTTCGATGGCCTTGTGCTTCAGAAGGGATTCGTACTCTGACTTGATTAGATCCTTCCATTCTTCCAGCTCTTTTCGAACTTCTTCCAGGGTCAGCGTTTTTGTCACCAGAGTCTCCTGTTCTTTGACCATCGGCTCCAGCTTGGCTAAGCCACGAAGTGCTCCTTCAAGTCTTTGAACTTCATCATCAATTTCCTTCAACGTTTCTCCTAACATGTCATAGTCCCCAATTTGGGTTTCTTCCCTTCGAAGACGACATAGTTCATTGTGTTGCAGGAGACAGCTGTTGAAGATGATTCAGATACTTCTGGACTTCTGGTTGTTGGAGTTGTTGGTCTCCATAAAGTTCATGATTCACTACCGCCCACTCCCCCCTGTTGTGGTCCACAGCAGTTTCGAAACGCTGGGAGGTAGGCGATCCACGTGCTGTTTGCCTCGAAGCCTTCTAGGGCGACTGCCATCAGCAAGGTGGATCTCCCCCGGAGTTGGCACCACTAGTTGTTTCGAATTCAGAACATGGACTTGAACTTCAGCACCACCTTGAGGAGCATGAAGCTTCTCCACCACATCATTTGGACAGATTTCCAAGGGCTCTTCCACATCGTCATATAGATGATCCTCTTCTTCACCATCAGGCATGTAGGATGGGGAATATTCATCTCCATCAGGTTGTGGGAGTTCCGGCAACACCGGAGGAAGTTCTGGAGGATTCACCACCACAGTAGACCGCATGAATTTGCCCAAGGTGAGGGATTGGATGTAGTACCCTTTGCTGTTTGCACTCATCCCCATTGCTGGACCCAAGACCCGGATCTTTTCAAAAGGATGATCCCAATCTCGTCGATGCCATCGTTTGAGCTTCGCAAAACACTCCGTGCCAAAAGGAATCAACATTGGAAGAGTGATGCCCATTGAGGCCAGTTGGTCTCGTTGTCGTTGTTCCACCGTATGCCTCAAAGCCAAAGGCCACCAATTAGCTTCCAGTCCAGCTGCACGAAGATGTACACGAGTTTGTGCCTGGATGATTCCCAACTCGGACTCACACCGTCCTTTACCTGCTGATTCGTCGCCAGCTGTACTGGTCTGTAGGATGTCTCCTTGTGTTCCCCAATCCCGCAGTTTTACCTGTGAACTCTCTTGCCCGGTCGCTATGAAGCCGCCGCACCGGCAATTGAAGGGTCCTCAGTTACACGTACACCTCTTGCACTGTTCGAACTACTTGTCTGGAATGCCTGCTCTGCATTGGCACCGCAAAGGTGAGGTTGCGGACTTCCACATCCTGAAGTTCGGCCACCTTTTCTTTCCAGAACTGATCCTTCACGTCCCACCAGCGGATCTCTGCTGCTGTTAGTTCATCATGTCGATGTGGTAGGATGCCCCATAGATCATCGTCTTTCGATGGGTCCTTTTCTTCTTTTCCCTTTTTGTCGGCAGGAACTTTACCATCTCCTGATTGTTGTTCTTGATCCCCTTCCTGTAGTGGAGCTTGACCTTCGGCTGATGCAACCTGTTTGTTTTCGTCCTCACCTGTAAGATCCACAGGCGCCGCTGCACGTGCCAAGTTTTCTTCCAGCTCTCGTTCAAATTGTTCCAGGAGATCATCTCGATCCAAAGGACTTCCTTCAGGAGGTTGTAGACGACGTTTTTCATCACCTGCGACTTTTTAAATTTTTGCAGACCTTCAGGAAGTGGAAAACTATCTTGCACCGGGACCGTATACACCGCCACCATGAAGTAAGTAGCTTGGATGTCCCCTCTGGTCAATTCTTTTTTTTGTGAGGTCCACTCAGGTCAATGCTCAAAGTATACGATTCAGGATGTTGAACACGACGTCTTGGGCGATCTCTGCCGGCACCTTCAAGGCAAACTGCACAATCCCGTCGAAAAGGTTTGTGTCCATTTGAGACGTGCAGCTGCCATTCCTTGATTTGTCTTTGCTCCGTTACAGACAATGCACATAGTGCAGGAGATTGCTCATTGACCCGATTGATGCACGTAACCAAAAGGTTCTTCAATCAATCCCGGTGCCCAAGACGCCAAAGAGCTCGAAAGTTCCATGCGCTGGTTGAGGTCCGAAGGCTTTGCTTTTGGTGACCCTTTTGACACCAATCCTTGTAGGTCAAAAAGTTCTTTCATTGACGTTAAGACCGTAGTCGGTTTGCTTGTTTGATGTCCTAGTGCACCCTGGTGGAAACTGATCCTTTGCAGGTGGCACCTTTTCACCATCACCTCCGTCTCCGGCCACGCCAAGAAGCTTGGAACGACATTCCAACCGGGAATCTTGTTCTTCACATCGGGAGGTGGTTGTTTCCACTGTTCTGGGTCCTGTGGTTGTTCCAGGGTGATCTCCAGGTTCTGGTTTGCCTCATAGGCTTGGATGGCTAACCACAATGTCCGCATCCAAAGCAAGTTGTCATTACAAACCAACTTGAGCTCTTCCTCAGAGAGGTCGTTCCTTCCAAATCGTTGTTGACCTTGCCTTGCTCTGACTACTTGTGGCCCATCATCACCCTCAAGAGATCGAAGTCGGACTCACAGACCTGCAGGGCGGTCCAACAAGAAGAACATCGATCTTTCCACTCCTTGCCAGTTGTTCCAACCATCCATACAAATGGCCGTTTCGAAGATCTCCCCCCTTCGTAAGCTCAATGCAGATGATGACAACACCGTTTTTCTCTTGTGCCATCCAAAACTTCGGATCATCTCCTGAGAAGAGGTGTACCACCAAGTCTTTGCACGTTGGACTTTCCGTCGATGATGGCGATTGAAGATCACCTGGTTCATGTCGACTTCGGCATAACCCGGGATTTCTTTTGCCAAATCCGAAGAGAATTCTGGGAAGGTTGCTTTGAGTCTCTTCACCACTTCCACTTCTGGACAGGCCTTGTGCAGTTCCACATTTGTTCTGATGGCCGCCAGCTTCATTTGTGTCTCACGCCGTTGATGAACTTCCACTTGTTGAAGGATACAAGCACCTTCACGCCGAGGAAGTGTATGGAAGTGTTGGGCATCCTTGGTCAAGCTGTACTGGTAGTTGAGCACCATCTGGTGAGTTGATCTTGCAGCCTGATCCCATCCACTTCACCTCATAACCCAGCCTTGTCAACGCTGCCATGGGAATGATCATCTGAACGTCGTGAAGCGTCAACAGCGATCCTCTCACCACATCTTGTTTCAGTTTCTCTGTTCCCGATGCCAAAGCGACTTGAACTGGTTCTCCTTGATCCTATTCATCTTGAGATTTGGCTTTCCTCAATACATGAGTAGCACCACCATCGATCAGAACTCTTTGATTCTTGCCCATGTCAATCTTCCTGAGGTTCACCGTCTTGACATGGCGATATGCCGTTGAGGAGGATTCTGGGGTTTTCAGGGTCTTTATAAGCAACGACACTTCCGTCACCAACGTTGAGGTCTCCCCCGTACCAGCACCTGACGTCCCTTTAGAATCAGCGGGTGTTCCTTTTCCTCCGTCTGTTTCAACCTTTCTCACATTCTGATCATCTTTTGATCCTACTGAATTGCCTTTCTGGTCTTCTTTGTTAGCTTTTTCACCCTTTCCTTTGGAGCTACCTTTTCCACCCTGTTTGCCAGAACTTTTTCCATCACCACCACTACCACTCCCCCCGGCCGGAGGACCTTTTGAAGCTCCAGTCGTAGTGTGGGTCTTGTCCTCCTTGTTCGGAGAGTTGTAGGGGCAATCCGGTTTTTTGTGAGATGTTGCTCCGCAGGTATAGCAGTGGTACTTGCCGTCGTCATGTGCTGGATGCTGGAACTTGCATTGTGCTCCTTGTCGACACCCCTGTTCAGATTTCCAGAAACGGCAAACGGGCTGTGCTGGGTTACCAGCTTTTTGATCTTTCATGTTTTTTACCGCAGGTCCTCCTTGAGCTTTGCCAGACACTTCAGTGCTGCCCAGGGCAAGTTCAACTTCTGCAAGTAGCGTTTGATGGAGTTGCTTGACCGTGGTGGCTGTCGGCTTGGTATCAAGCTGTGCCCCCATGCGAAACGCACTGAGGCGGAAGTTCGCCTGTGGATTTCCCTGAAGAAGTTTTGACATTATCTTATCAAGGGCACCTACCATCAACGTAGGGTCTGGAACTGTTGCACCTAGCTCTTCAGCTCGTGAATGGTGACGCTGCCACATTCTCAAAGACGTGGAAGCTTCCAGCTACGTCCCGACAGGTTGAGTTGTTGTCAGAGCTTGCAGGGTGTTCTGTCGCTCCCCCTAGCCTCCTGGTTGGTAGACCTTCTTCATCACTTTGAAGATGATCTGAGCAGCCCCAAGCTGACGATTCGCAATCATCTCTGCAGTCAAGGTTTTTGGGATCGCCTGCATGAGCAATGAAGTCACCCTCTGGTCCAACCTTGTAAACCCTTGAGGCAATTCCTCCACTGCCGGAGGTTGCACATTGAGGCGAGTGATAGGTTCACTTCCCAACCATTGTTGATAACGTTGAGTGGTCATGGTCACCAAAGTATCCCTTATCCCACCACCACATTGCACGATGACTCACATCAGCGATCTGAGGTCGAATTCGCGCCATCCAATCGCCAGCTTCAAGTCCTTGATTTTTCCCCCCAATTCAGGAAGTTTCGGTAGAGTGATGGTCACCGGCTTGAGCTCTTCTTCACGAGGCCGGTCATCTTGAATTCCACCACCCAAGAAAGTTCCTGGGTTACAATTTCCACCTCCTTGATGTTGACCCCCACTTTGGTAAGGATTCCCAAACTGGCCTCCTTGTTGTCCAAGTTGGTTTCCAGCTATGGGTTGTCCCTGTTGATGAAGATAAGGATTACCACCATTGACATGAACCCACCCACGCATGTTAATGTCATGGAAGGCCTGACGCAGAGTCTGCTGAGCTCCGGACGGATCAGCACTTGGAGGTCCCACTGGTTGAAATGGTTGAGCTCCATACGCACCCAAAGGCTCTTGACCAGGCAACCTCCGCATAGTCAAAGCTTCACGAAGGTCCTTGAGTTCTTGCTCCAGTCTCTGAACCCTATCCGCTTCTGGGTCAGGTACATGTTGAACTCCACCTCTTCTGCTGTTCCAGAAGCCATGTAGATCTCCATCAGCTTGTTGAGCACCAACACGAAACGTCTGTGGTCCCAGCCATTTGTTGGCCCCCGCTTCATTGTACTCCTCGTAGTCTCCCAGTGGCATAGGCGGCACTGGAGGCAATGGCGGCGGCATGGGATCCTTCTCCACCTTGTCGACTGGCGGCGGTCCATCCGGAAGTCGAGTTCCACCAGGAGTGACTTTGTTCACATCTTTTGTCTGGCGGTTTGTAGGTGTTGTTGGAGTCGTTCTTGATGGCACCGACTCCCAACTTGAAGTGTCCAACTCATCTTGTTGTTGAACTTGTTGAACCTGTTGAACTTGTTGAACACGAGGAGAGGGCTGAGATTTGCTCATTGCATCCAACCTTTTTCGAAGCTCCTCGTTTTCTTGCATCAATTGCTGCACCAACAACGAGCTCAAATCCTGCTCCAACGTTGGTCCTTTTTGATCCTTTGGCTGGATCTTTTTGGGTTCTACATCGGTTTCTTTTTCTTGCAGATGATCTTGACCTTGATGTTGAAGACGATCTTCACCCCTTGGTCGGCTTCGATCTTTTCGTTGGCGATCTACCGAAAGTCCACGAGAGCCTCGATCGTTTCCCTGACGACTTCCTCCACGCTGTGGCATTTCAGTGCTTTTACCTCTCCCACGTTGCAGAGCTGAGACATCCCCATGTGAACCTCGAAGAACATCACCTAGAAGATCTAGAGGGCGTTGCCTTTGTCCAGCAGGGTTCCCTTCTCTTCCACTTTGGTCTTGCCGTAGAGGTCCTTGAGAACGAAGTGCATCACCTTGCCGTTCTCTTTGATCGTTTCCCCCTTGACCTTTCCCCCGATGTCCTTCACCACCAAGAGGGCCAAGAAGATCTACTTGAGGAATTCCTGCACATGCAGTTTGGTGCGCCAGGTCCTCATCGAAGTCAAAGAGATTGAAGTCCGTAGTTTCTTCATGCATCCTGAACACCTGGGTGCCCTGTGGTCCCGGAGTTTGTGGATTCCAGCTACTGGGTGTTTCAAATGCCACCTGAGTAGGCATCTGGCCTTGACTTCTAACCATTCCCCAACCGCTACCCATCGCCCGAGAAAGTCCTTGCACCGGTCGCGAGGTTGTTCCCATTCATCACCAGGAACTGGAGGTAGACTTTCTGGAGTTGCCAGGATTGGCGGCAAAGCGGCTGGTCTCAGCCTATCCACCCGTACTGCATCTTGTACTCCTTGGGACCAAAAAGCTGCTCATCCCCATTCATGTGAAGATGCCCTTCTCGGTGGGGAACACTTCTTCCTTGTCGACGCGCCATGTTTCAGCGACGAGGGGCACGGTTTGGGTTCATAACCTGCTAACGGAGCAGCGTGAGCCGCGACTTTTCTTGGGCAAAAGAAGCCTGCGGTAGAAGGTGGTTGTTATCTACCACAGCTTAGTCTGTGTTGTACTGATACTACACTTGTTCATAGCCAAAAGGCCAGTTCTTGAAATTCTCCATGCACGGAGAAACTAATAAATTTCACAAAAGGATTGAACAAGAGTTGTTTGTCGGTTGTTTGTGTGGTAGTAGTATCCACCAAAAGACATCATGTTTGTGATGGTTCAAACAACCTATTTTTGATTCAAGGGATTATGATTCGGGCTGGTTTCGGGCCGGTCAATCCTCAGATTCTAAGTTTCAAGACCCAGCCAGGAAGATTATGGAATTCTTATTTGGAGATGAGATTCTTGGATTTGTTGATGAATTGTTATTTTTCCTGTGGTAAATCCACGAGAAATGGGTTATCTGGGAAGATTTTGAATATTTTTGCGGCCCTGTTTTACACAAATCCAAGGATTACGGAGCTCCAGAAGTCAGAGATCCGAAGGGCTGTTCGAGTGGAGGATCTTCACCGAGCTTCAGATTCGGGCATCTCCGCGATGAGTGGTAATGCCAACCACACCAACGACGAAGCTGACATGGAGGTGAAGCATGGTGAAGCACCTATCCCTTCGGATCCAGGGTTGAGATACGGATACCCCACTTAGTCATGAAACATGGCCAACCCCCCCAGCGTTCGATGATTGTCCAATAGGGGACTTTGGAGGCAGCCATGTTTGATTGCCGCAGGGTGTATGTAAATATAAGTGTACAGATATTGATTTGATTATACCGACGGACTGAAAGTTAGAATGCCACTTTGCTGGAAAGACATGGATTTCAAGAAAAAACCCGCGTACCACGTGAGAAATCCGGGAGGCATTCTAACCCTATTTGTTTAGTCCTGAAACCCCTAAACAAATCCGGGACGGCATTCTAACCCTTTTATTTAGTCCTGAAACACCTAAAACCCCAAAATTTTGAATTGTCGACCGTCCCGTGTCTTCCATGTACTGCAAACATATATAATATTTAAAATCTATATAGAATTCAGATGTTTTGGGGGCATATGCTGCAGATGCATTCTAACCCTACAAAAAATAAAGGTTTGGTGGCCCCGGCACAACAGGTAGGCAAGTTTGATCAAACAATTTTTGAACATGTTTATCCACATTTTCCAGCATAATACGGACTGAAAGGTAGAATTTTGGTAGAATTTTTTGATGTGGCATTCTAACTTTCAATGTTTTTTTTGGTGGAAATTGTGGCATTCTAACTTTCAGTCCGTCGGTATAATATATTAGAATCAATCATAACATATATCAAGATATAGAAGCATCACCCGTGTGGGATGGACCCAAAACCAGAGTCAATCCCAATGACGCACGCCAGAAGTGCGCAGGATAGTAAAAACCATCCCCAATTTGGGAGTTTTATTGAGCTTTATTCTTGGGTTTACCGCAACTAAACACGTGGACTGAGAACCAAAGCATGACCATTGCCCAACATGTCTGTTTTTGCGTATGTTTTCTTGTCACAGCTTCGTGACTTCAACTGAAATCCTTGTTAGAAGTGATTCAAGTGACCATTTAGTCGAAATTCATCATTTCCTGTCAGGGTATCATTATTCAGAAAACAACATTACCTTGATCCCCAAAAAGGTGATTCATAATTTCCGGAGGCAGCGAGAGCAGCTTTGCCCTTGACACCCGCGGATCTCTATGCAGAATATGTGAAGTATCGAGAAGTGCTGGGCTATTCTTGACGGAGACTGCAGGGAGATGATTGCCAGCTGTTTTGGTGACCACGGGACCAAATTTTTGAAGCCATACCAGCCATACCAGCCATACCCAAAGCGGGAGAGTTATTGGCGCTTCGCATGATCTGGGTTACTTGAGAGAAAATGGAATGCAGAGAGAAGTGCAGCAGCGTTCCAATCATTGGGTTTGGGGCTTGAAAAGTCTCAAAAGTTGGAAACCCCAAATCTGATGGTTTTTTATATTATTTGGAGAGCGGCTTACCATGGGGGGTGGAGTGGTGAAAGGTTTCATTTTACAAGGATTTGCATCATTATACATGAGTTGGTGTAGTTGGGCCACGGTGCATAATTCGCCATGGTAAAATATGCATTTTTTGACCATTCGAGGGGTTACGCTGGGGTGGGTTGGGGTGGGGTGGGGTGGGGGGTGAGGTAGCAATCCCCGTATTGAGGGAGCCCTGGATCTACACTAGAACACTTGTGGTCAGCTCAGCGGCAAGCTACACCTTTTTGCTGCGGTATGCAGGCAAGTCTTGAGCCGCGGAGTGGCGCAGTGGAAAGATGAATTATTGTGAACATGTCATGTGCTACATGCAAGTATGCATTGTGTAGACACGTCCCCAAAACTGGTTTACAAACAGACACAAATATTCTTCGCAACCAGCAGCTAGGCCATCCATAGATCGGATATACTGGCCAGCTTGAGTGGAAGAAACAACAAACATTATATGAAATTCTGTTCAACGCGTTACGATGCAACTTGATTTGTTGGAGAAAACGTTCAAGAATGTCAATCATGATGCAAGTCCGGTAGTCGGAATGAGCGAATTGATTTCCATCGCCAGAGATGAAATCGGTCTAAATGCAACCATGTTTCGCAGGCCTCGGAATAGCCGTCGGTCCATGCGTACGACGAAATATGAAATACTGCAACACGAACTTCTACGAGACCAAGACGTTTTACGTCGTGCGTGTCAGCGCCGGTAGTCGGCTGTAACAGCTCAGCGTGTTGGACATCACATTTTCCCAGAGCCTCCAAAAGTCCTTAATTAAGGAGATACCTTAATTAAGGTCTCCAGGATTTTCTTAATTAAGGACTTTTGGAGGAACTTCTGGAGACCTTAATTAAGTGATCTGGCTTTTGTGCTGTTTTAGTGGTATAATGATGTATAATGGCTAAGTTTGTGTCAAAATTGTCATATGTTTTTTCTTTGCTGTCCTTTAGATTTTTTTTACTTTTTGCCAAAAAGTAGGCAATACAAGAACTTCCTAGATTGCTTAATTAAGAAGATGGCTTAATTAAGCACTCCTATTTAAGCAATCTAGGAGGAGCAATTTTGGATTGCTTAACTAAGCAATCTAATGGATTGCTTAATTAAGCAATCTAGGTTTTAGTGTTATTTTTCTAGTTAAAAATTCAAAGTTAACATATGACTTTTTGAATTTTGATTAGCTACCTCTTTTGAAGAATTTCTAGTTGGAAATTGTTCCAATATTTCCTCCCTTTCACTTTGAAGAAAAGTCAGCTTGCAACCAAAGGTATTTGGAATGCAACCAAATGTATTTGGACAGAAAATGGAAAATGGAATGTACAAAAACGATTGTGTGCAACGTACTCTTTTCCAAACATTGTCAATGCTCCTGAGACTTTTACTTTTTTTGTTAAAAATGTTTTATGTAGAAGCATTCATGTTGTAAGCCATGCCCACCCCCAAAATATGATATATTAAAAAAAATCTCAAGTACCTTCAACAAACATTTACGCCTAGGCCCCCTTCAGAGGACATATTCCTTACTAGTGAATAGTGAATACTTATATACTAGTTTCTGGTTACTTGCTAGTATAGTTGTGGTTACTGGTTAGTAGGTGATATTCAGTAGGCAGTAGTTGGCAGTTAATAATTACAATGGCCCAAGTGCAGAAGCAAAATGTATTGTACCTGCACTCCACAGAGGAGTGTTGTTGAAAACAAACACCCATTAAATTGGAAACTGAAAGTATCTTGTCCAAGTATCCAAATTCGATCCTCACCATTAAAAACACATGAGTGCCAAAGTTGAAACTAAAACCTGTTTTTTTCAAATTGTGTCGGAGTATTCAACTTTGAGCCCCACCAACAATTATCAATTTGGGCCCCACCAAGAGCTCCAATTTTTAGTGGGACCCAAAGCTGAAGACAAATTAGTTTCCTTTCAAACCTTGACACAAAGTATTCCAGTTTGAACCCCAGCAAAAATCTTAATTTTCAGTGGGGCCCAAAGTTGAATATAAACTATGTCCTGTTCAAATTTGGTGAAAGTATCCAAACTTCACCCCCATATTTGATTTTCCAGGGTGGGGCCCAAAGTTGAAGATAATATATGTTTCTTTCAAATCTAGTCGAAGTATTCAAGTTTCAGCCCCACTAATTTTTAGTTGGGCAAAAAAATGAAGATCAAACATGTTCTCTTCAAATCTTGTCGACAAGATTCAAGTTTCAGTTCCATTAAAAAATGTAATATTTTGGTGACCCAAAGTTGAAGAATAAACATTTTCCAAATTTTGCTGAAAAGGAATCGAAATTGAGCCCCACCGAGTTTTTTTAAGGGTAAGGAGAAAATTGAAATTACATTATTTTCCAGGAACATTTCTTCGTTTTGGTTCATTTTTGAGAGGTGGTCTTGTTTCCTTTCCTGAGGTGATGAAAGGGGTCAAAAGAGGGCAACTTGAAAACATGTTCCAAATACATCAAGAAGGCAATGCAAGGAGGTCTAAAGATGGTAAATGTGTTGAAGTGTTGTTTGCATTGTAGCCTTCTGTTTTTGTTTCTTTATTTTGTTGCAGGTTTTTGCAGGTGCCCGTTTTTCTTTGCTATGGTGATCAAAGGGGGTCAGAAGAGGGCACCTTGAAAAATGTTCCACATACATCAAGAAGGCATTGCAGGCATGAGCTCTAAAGGTGGTAAATGTGTTGAAGTGTTGTTTGCATTGTAGCCTTTGTTTTTGTTTCTTTGTTTTGTTGCAGGTTTTTGCAGGTGCCCCTTTTTCCTTTGCTTAGGTGATCAAAGGGGGTCAGAAAAGGGCACCCTGAAAACATGCTCCAAATACATGAAGAAGGCATTGCAAGGCATGAGCTCTAAAGGTGGTAAGTGTTGAAGTGGTGTTTGCATTGTAGCCTTTTGTTTTTGTTTCTTTATTTTGTTGCAGGTTTTTGCAGGTGCCCGTTTTTCTTTGCTATGGTGATCAAAGGGGGTCAGAAGAGGGCACCTTGAAAAATGTTCCACATACATCAAGAAGGCATTGCAGGCATGAGCTCTAAAGGTGGTAAATGTGTTGAAGTGTTGTTTGCATAGTAGCCTTTGTTTTTGTTTCTTTGTTTTGTTGCAGGTTTTTGCAGGTGCCCCTTTTTCCTTTGCTTAGGTGATCAAAGGGGTCAGAAAAGGGCACCTTGAAAAAATGCTCCAAATACATGAAGAAGGCATTGCAAGGCATTGCGCTAAGAGGATTGCCATAGCTGCAAATTGTACATGAACAAAGGGAAACTACATCAGCTTGAAAATACCACCCAGCAAGATTGGGCCTTGGAACATATAGTGCCAAGGTCATAAACCATGAGATTTTTTTGAGGTAGAATTAGTAGGTGTTAAAAACATGTTAAAATTTTTAACATGTTTTAGCACTTTTTTAACTGGTCAAAAAAATAGGTTTATATATATAAATCAATTTAAAACCTATTTTTTCCAGTTAAAAAAATGTTAAAACATGTTAAAATTTTAACATTTGTTTAAGGTTTATGACCTTGGCTCTATATGTTCCAAGGCCCAATCTTGCTGGGTGGTAATTTCAAGCTAATGTAGTTTCCCTTTGTTCAACTACATTTTGCAGCTGTGGCAATCCTCTTAGTGCAATGCCTTGCAATGACCCCCTTTGATCACCTAAGCAAAGGGAAAACGTGGCACTTGCAAAAACCTTCAGCTACGGGCCCAACTGAAAATTACAATTCTTAGCGGTGCTCGGATTTGAATACTTCGACACAAGATTTGAAAAGCACATATATTATCCTCAACTTTGGCCCCACCCTGAAAAAAACTTGGCGGGGTTCAAGTATGAATACTGCCACAGTTTACCTTCAACTCTGGGCCTCGCTGAAAACTATGATTTTTTCTGGGGTTCAAACTTGAATACTTTGTGACAAGATTTGAAAGGAACATATTTTATCTTCAGCTTTGGGCCCCACCAAATATATTAATTGCTAGTGTTGTTCAACCTGGAATACTTTTGACAAAATTTTAAAGGAACATATTTTATATTCAACCTTGGGCCACACTAAGAATTATAATTGTTAGTGGGGCTCAAACTTGAATATATACTGTTCAACAAGATTTGAAGAGAACATGTTTTATCTTCAACTCTGGGCCCAACTAAAAAAATACAGTTGTTAGTGGCGCTCAAAGTTTTGAATACTTCGGCAAATTCTATAAAGATCATATTATCTTCAACTTTGGGCCCAACCCTGAAAAAAATGATTGGGCTCAACTTTGAATACTTTCACCTGGTTTGAAAAGAACATATGGTATCTTTATTTTTGGGCACCACTAAAAATTATAATTTTAAATGGGGTTCAACTTGGATACTTTGAAACAAGATTTGAAAAGAACATATTCTATCTTCAACCTTGGGCCGCAGTAAAAATAAATGTGTTTGTGTTAGTGGGGCTCAACCTTGGCTATATTATGTTTTGGCAAGGTTTGAAAAAACATATTCAATTTTCAACCTTGGGCAGCAGTAAAAATTGTAATTGTTAGTGGGGTTCAGCCTTGACTATTTTTTTAACAAGGTTTGAAAAGAACAGATTTTAGTTTTTAGTTGCAACTTTGGGCCCCGCTCTTAAAAGACTTGGTGGGGCTCAAATTTTTATACATACTTGGAAAAATAATTGCGTTTTCCTATGTATTGTTTTTTTTTATAACAGCACTCCTCAGAGGAGTGCAGGTAGCATACGATTGCTTCCGCACTTTGGCCATTAT